CCAAATATTGTTTATAAATGTTTGTTTTCATTTAAATGGGGTTGGTTATAAATGGTTAATGATCACAGCCAAATCTTTTTTAAAGGTAAAAAGGGGATTATGGTATAGATATGGATACTTTGTTTTGGAATGGATTTTCATTTATTAATACAATTTAAGGTCAATTTTGTGATATGTATATTTCTCCTTTTGTTTAGGTATTGTGTTTATATACCTCATTTAGAAATGTAAATATAATGTAGTACAGATTATAGATAATTACCTATGATAGTCAAAGCTTAGAGTTAAGTTAGTTAGGTTTTTCAAGATACACAGAGATGTATTTGAGATGGATAGGCATTCTTCAATCCTTTCAAAGAATATGGCGTTTAAAATGGTTTAGGGTTTTTCTTGACAATGAGGCACAATTGTGTTTGAATGTCCAGATTTTGAGAATTTTTGCTGTAACTTCATGGAATAGATTCTGTGCTTTGGTGCCTACCTAAGCCCCCCTTTTTATCCCATGGTTTTCTAGGCTTAGTCTCCAGCCATGTCTCACAGTATTCTTAGATGTTGTGGGCAGGCTCGTTGGTTTTTTTTTGTGTGTGTGTTATTTTTTCCTCATATTGATATTTCAGTGCAGTGTTTTGTCAGCCATGTCCTCCTCAATCCTTGATATTCTCTCTTCTGCTTCGTTTAGTTAATTAGTGACACCTTCCACTGAGTTTCCTTTTGATGTATTGACTGCTTCTTTCCCAGGTGTGTCTGTGTGTTTAATCTTAACTTCTTTGCTGAATTTTCCCCCTTGTTGTTAGCTTTTTCACTCGTATTGCTAGCTTTCCCCATCCATGTGGCTGACGATTTTCCTCTGTGTTGCTAACTTTCCACTTTAGGTGGAATTCTTTTGCTTACTTGCATTCTATTTTGGGCCATTGATAATTTTTAAGTGAACTTTTGGAATCTTTATATGCTATTTTACTTTCTTCAGTAACTTTTACATTTTCATTAGTTTGTTGAGAGTTTTGTACATTGTGTTTTGACCAAATTCATCCCCTAACCGTTCCCATATCCACTCCCATTCCCTAACCACCCAATTTTGTGTCCTTACTAAAAAGATTCTTGAAGACCAATTTGTGCTGCTCAAATACTCGTGGATATGTGGTCTTCCACTGGAACATGGTGAGTTCACCAGGGGCTGCACTATTTCGGTATCTTTGTATTCTGTAATAGATCTTTTCTCCTGATCTTTTGGAGGGCTGTGTCACTTGGCTTTTCCATTCTACTTGTGTCTCTATGTTGTAATATTTTTGTCCGCTTGTTTGGATAATTTCTGGTTTCATCTGGGCATCTTCTAATTGAACAGCTTTTTCTTGGAGGCATGCTCTCCAGTACCGCCATCGTCACTTATGATCACAAAACTGAAAACGGCATACCAGGGGCCTCTGCTCTCCACACTTAGGTTTGTAAATGTGTTTGTAAGTATGGGCAGATCACATCACCTCTGGTGATGTGGAACAATATTTCCTAATTGTTTCTTTTCACCTTGTTATATCATTCAGTTTTTTTTTTCATGTTTAGTGACAATTTGTACCTCTTTAGTGAACTTATTTGTTCATGAGCTAGAACTTTTTTCATATTGGGATCATAGTTTAATACCTTAATGTACATTCTCTTTTACATTACTGACACTAGCCCTTCCAACTCTGTGCACACATTTCACTCCATGCTCATCTTTCTGCTTCATGTTGTTTTTGAAACAATGAATCTATATATTTTATGGTAATACATTTTTCCTTGGTTATTGCTGCCTCTAACTGGGTGCTGATGAACTTAAGAGTCTGGTTTGTAGCATGTGTTGGTATTTGGAGTGCCAGTGTTCCCTCCACAGCTGGTTTTTGGTTGCTAGCTGATCTGACTGCAGAACTGATAGACATTTGGCAGTTGGTTATTATTAGTCTATACAAGCTGGCTGTGGTGGTTTGAACGAAAATGGACCCCATAGGCCCATATGGAGTGGCACTATTAGGAAGTGTGGCCTTGTTGGAGTAGGTGTGGCTTTGGTGGAGGAAGTGTGTCATTGGAGGTGGTCTTTGAGATGCCTAAGCTATAGCTCTCTCTTCCTGTTGCCTGCTGATCCTGATGTAGAACTCACAGCTATTTCTCCAGCACCATGTCTGCCTGTGTGCAGCCATGCTTCCTGACATGAAGACAATGGACTAAGCCTCTGAAACTGTAATGCAGCCCTAATTAAATGTTTTCATTTATAAAGAGTAGCTGTGGTCATGGTGTCTCTTCACAGCAATAGAGACCCTAAATAAGGCACTGGCTTCAGCATGCCATTGGCATTTTATTTATTTGTTTTTGAGACAGGGTCTCACTGTGTAGACCAGGTTGGCCTCAAACTCAGAGATCTCTCTTCTTCTTTCTGAGGTCAGGGTTAAAGGCATGCGCCCTACTACTTTGATATCTTAAAACTTCTTTCCTACAACAGAATCAAATATTTGTAACTATATTTTTTCTCAAACAAAAGTCCTTAGTAATTTCAACCATTTATTATCCAAATAAAACATTTACTAAGAAAAATCAGAACACACAAGTGAGTGAAAAGAAAAAAAAAATCATGTCAACAATAATCCCAGCATATTTTAGTAGCATCAGTAGAGATGTTTTCCCCCATCTAAACCAATGAACATGCTTTGGCTCTTCATACCTACTGACAAACTGTTGTTAATAAACTTTTGCCAATCTACCTATATACACACACAGGAGGGTAAAGCTCAGCCAAAGGCCAACAAGGAGCTACAGAATTATCTGAAGACTATCATATAACTATTGCTTTTTTTGTTTGTGTGTGGGCTCACACTAACTCCATCTGGGAAAGAAGGAGGGAGAGGGACCTCTCTATGAATGACAGAGTATTTACTTAAAAAGGACTATGTCAACATGAGAGCAAATAGCTAAGCCAGGTGAAACTGAGCTGCCTCTGTGTAACAAAATGAGTGCCACGCCCATCCCTCAGCCTCATCCCAGAGCTCAGTGGCATCAGGGCCTTATCTCTGTCAATACAGCGATAAAAAATACAGCGATAAAAGCTGTATTTGTCAGCTTTGTGCCACTGTGACTGAAGGCCCCATGTAAACAAAGGAGAACGTACCCATGGCTTCAGTCCAGGTTCACCCGAGTCCCTGGCTTTAGGACCTGTGGCCAAGGAGAGTATCCTGACAGTTGGAGTGCATGACAGTGGGGGGCACATGATGAGGGGTTGTTCACCACCTGTGGTGATGGGGAAGCAGCGAGAACAGGGTGGGACACATACACATGATGGGAGATGTCATTCTGTATATGTTTCTCATACTGGTTAATGAATAAAGCACTGTTGGCCAATAGGAAAGCAAGATAGGCGGGACTAGGAGACAACGAGGAAAGAGGAAGTGGTAAGGAGGGGTCAAGATGGAGAGACCGGGGAGACAGAGCAGAATGCCAGCGCGGCCTCTCGCTCTGGTAAGATGAGAGCACGTGGAAATACATAGATTAACAGAAATGGGTTAATACTTAAGACAGAGCTAGCCGATAAGAAACTAGTACCTAGCCAACAGCACTGTACCTAATACAGAGTCTCAGTGTGTTTTTTGGGGCTGGCGCAGCGGCGGGACAAGACGAGCGGCAGGTGGGAAAACCTTACACCTTACACATACACACACACAGAGAGAGAGAGAGAGAGAGAGAGAGAGAGAGAGAGAGAGAGAGAGAGAGAGAGAGAGAGCGCACTCCTAAGCTAATTGTGGTGGTTCATCTTGTAATGCCAGAACTTGGGAGGCTGAGGTAGAAGGGTCACACTGAACTCAGGGACTATCTGAATCTCATATGGTGAGACTCTGACTTAAGAACAATTTTTAAAAAAATGAGTCTCAAAGAAAATATAGCCTTCGAAGCCATGTCCCTAATGAACTCCTTCCTACAATTAGGGCTCCCATCCTAATTTTCCATTCAGCAGTGAACTCAGCAGTGGGTGAACCCTTTGATGAAGGTAGTACCTTCATAAACTAATTAGAAATAGCACCATCGGGTTTTTCCTCAAGGCTTTCAAGCACAAGCCTTTGGGGACATTTTATCTCCAAACCATATGTGTTAGTTTTTTGTTTTGTGTCACTTGGCACAAGCTAGGGTCACATTTGGGAAGAAAGAACTTCAACTGGGAAAAATGCCTCAATCAGACTGCAGGCAAGCTTCTGGGGCATTTTCCTGATTCATATTGACACGGGAGGGTCCATGAGCATTGTGGGCAGTGCAGGTGGTCTTCAGTGCTACAAGAAAGCACATTGGACAAGATGTGGAGTGCAAGGCTGAAAGCAGCTTTCTTCCATGGTCTCTGCTTCAATTCCTGCCTCCAGATTCCCGCTTCGAGTTCCCGCCTGACTTCCCTTCACGGTACACTCTGATCGTAAGCCAAAAGAAACCCTTTCTCTCACAAGATGCTTTTGTTCATGTTGCTTATCACAGTTACAGAATCAAAGCTAGGACACCATAGCAGAAGTACCTCCACAATGCGCATCAGAGTTCAAGTTGACAGTTTACTAAGTTGGAAATCCAAGCTTCAAGTTTTCACATCCCCTTCATGGACTAATGCTAACTTTGTAATAAAAGAAGCTCTAAGGTTGGCCCAAAAGAGTCCATGTTTGCTCTTCTCTGTAGGCCATTCCAAATAAGTCCGCTGTGCCATCAAAGCCCTCAGCTTGTGGTACCTACTGGGAATGTTGTCCTGTGGAATGGGCTCCAGCAAGATCAAAATTAAGTTATCAGACCCTTCATGGAAGAGATTGTGATGGGCAAAGTAGAGTTCATAATGGCACCACTCACTCTGGATGAAGTGTGGAGACAACACAAAGATGGACTTGTAACTCTTCTCGATGAAATGTATGATATTCTCCACAATGCTCTTGCCCGGGATAAAATTTCTCTCGTGGAGGCAAACCCGTATGTCATCTTTCTCTAGGTTTGGTATTAATTCATTCTTTACCCAGGTGGAATCATGCTCACTGTATGAGACAAAAGCATGGAACTGGAAGTTCCTCTGGAGTTCCTCTATGGGGATGTTCCTGGCCCTGTGCCGGGTCTGTGCCCACTGACACATCATCCTTAGATACCAGGGCAGATCAAAGCAGTGGCAGAGGAAAGCTACGATGATGGCCAGCACCAGCAAAGTGGCCCCGATGGTGACAATCAGCAGAACAGTTTCACAGGACAATGGAGACATGTGGAAGTCCTGCAATGGGGTCCCCTTAGCACTTTCCGGGGAGTCACATGTGTAAGAATCGGGCCAGCCCTCTACCACTTCTGATACTTGGCCTATGTTTTTGACAAATTCTCTCAGCTCACATGTACATCTGAATGGGTTGTTCCCTGCTCTTATGGACCTGATCTTCTGACAGCTCTGGAAGAAATCTGCTGAGGGATGGGAAACTGAATTATGCTCAATGACCAGCACAGAAAGGCTGCTGAAGGCCCCACATCCAGGAAGATCCATTAAGGAATTGGATGCAACATCGAGTTCCTGCAGAGCTTCTAGTGCAATGAGTTTTTGAGGAATGCTCATTATTCTGTTGTTGTGAAGGTCAAGGACCTTGACCTTAGGAGGCAAGCATCTGAAGACAGAGCCAGTAAGCATATTTGAAGACAAATTTAACACCAATATACTCTCAGCCCAAGAGCATGTTTTCTCATATGCATGAGAGTCCAAGGAATTCAAACTAACATCCAAAGTTTCCAGAGAGGCCATATTCTCAGTCATGAGAGCTACCTTGAAAAGGTTCTTCAAGCCATTCTTTTGTAAGATAAGTGTATTCAGTCTCTTTAAAGTGGAACAGTCTTGGAAAACACTGTCTGTGAAAACATTCTGGGTAAAGTTCAGAAACACAAATGTGCTTGGTAACAGAGGGCAGAGCATATGGATGAAAGGCGTGTCTGTGATGGTCAGCATCCTAATGTTCATCTCTGCAAACAAAGAGTACAACGCCTCCTTTGAAAAGATGAACACCTGGTTTGTAATGTGCTCTATTGTCAATGCCTTCAGTACTGTCTCGGAGTAAGTAAAATTTTCATAATTAATGCTTTCAGTTATCGTTAAGTTGTAAATGTTAAGGTACTCCACCGGCCGTGGCCAAAGGAATTGTAAAAGTTCAACCAAGCATTTCCAGGTTGTTTCCACATGGTAGAGAGTCAAATTTAATAAGGTTGGACCTCTGGTGAGTTCTAATAAAAATGTAGTTAACCTTTGACAGTTTCCATCATTCAATTTAATATTACTCAGTTGTAAACATCCCAAAGCATTCACAGATATGTTCACTTGCACAGAGAACAAGCTATTTGGATGAAAGATCAAATGGAGAGCCTTGGTATTAAGAACCTGAAGACTTTCTGTCTCGCCATCTTTTACATGATAACCCACTAAGCCCAGAAGAATGTAGTTTAGGTGCAAGTGAGCAATTGGGAGCAGATCCAGATGTCGGAACTTTGTAGCGCTTAACCCCAAGAAACTCAGCCTTGTCAAGTTGCCAAACTCCTTACACATGGGCAACACATCAAAGTCATTGAAGGAGAGGTCTAAATGCTTCAAGCTCACCACAGGGCAGCAAGAGATGTTTCTCAAGTGATTGTTGGACACATCCAGGTATTCTAACTTCGGGTTGAACTTGAACACACCAAAATTGAGTCTTTGGATTCTGTTATGGGATAGTCTCAGGGCCCTCAACTCGGGCAGCATACTGACATCAGACATCTGAAGCTCTTGGATAGAGTTTTGAGACAGATTTAAGGCTTTTGTTCTTGGTGTCAGGTCTTTGGGGACATGGGTAAGGTTCCTGTTTGAATAGTCTACTGCAGGCTCGAGTACATCAGAGGACTGAATCAGGCTTCCACTTATGAAGACCAGGATGCATATAACATGAAAACTTCCCACAATGGGATCTCTGTCTCGGGTCATGTTGTAATGGCTATCCCAAAGGGTCAGTACCATTTTTCACAGCATTTTTACTTGAGTTCAAGCTCTAGAAACAAGGTAAATAAAGATCAGGTAATGGCTTTTAAGCTCACATTTCCCAGAATTTCAAGTGCTTTCCTCATCTACTGTAACACTTATCACTGTCCCATGGTTTTTATGTGATATTTTATCAGTCTATAGCTACAGGGGACAATATGAACTTTTAATCAAAGTACTGTGGTTGTGTGTTTTCACTAGTCTGGGGGCTTCCTAAAGGACTGGGGTTGGGGTGGGGTGGGCTTTACCTTTGTTCCACACTCAGAACTTTCTCAGGGCTGGAGAAACCTCTTGGTGTTGTTTGTCAAAAAAAAACAAACTTTGAGGACAAACATAGTAGCTGCAGCACCCTGAGCCAGAGGTGACAGAGCGTAGACTCACCAAAAGTAAAACTTGCCTGAGGATTCGGAAAAGCAGTCAACCTCAAGCTACAGATATCAGGCAGTGGTGACACACTGTTAATTTCAGCAGCCCGAAGCTAGGAGGTGGTGGTACACAGCTTTAATCCTAGGTCTGAAGATGAAGAGATAGATGGATCTCTGTGAGTGAGTTCAAGGCCACCCAGATCTACACGCGAGTGAATCAGTCTAAAAGAGAATTAATTATAGCTCACACCTTTAATCCCAGCATTAGGGAAGTATATAAGACAGAAGCAAGGTCTCTGTAGGAAGCATTCATTGTCCAGCCACATTGAGGACAGGCAGCAGGATCGGCCCTTACAGCTTGAGGTAGGTAAGAGCTAGTAGCCCACTACCTTGCCTTTCTGTTCTTCAGCTTGAAATCTGAACCCCGATATCAGTCTGTGTTTATGCCTTTGTGCCCTTTTGCCTCCCTTTCCCTGCCTCTGTCCTCTTCTTCCATTCTCTTCTTGCCCTGCCTTGATTTAGACCTACAAGGCTTGCCTCAGTTTCCTTCATGGAACTGGAGAACAATAAATGTTCCTTGTTATGAGGCACTGAGTTGACAGTGATTTATCACAGCAGCAACAGAACAGACTAGGTTGACCTATCCATCTTCTCCATCAAAACATAGTAGTAAGCACTGTCACGGGGATCCCTAAAGACACTTGGAGTGTGCAATGAGGTTCGGGAAACTGCAGAGGACAAGCTCCATGGTAGCAAAGAATCAAACTCAAGCCCCAAGAGAGGTCAACATCCTGGAAGCAAGAAAAAAACAGGATAGATATTCATATTATACACCCTCAGAAAGAGGGGAGAGTCCAACGCACTTGCTGGGGGAGGGAGGATGAGTTTTCTTTCAGGGTGGAGCCCTCAGTAGATCTGACACATCCAGTAGAAGGCCACACACCCAAGAGTGTGTGGGATAGCACGCATGGGACTTGGTAGGTTTAGGGAAAAAAAGAGGACTCTTAGGTGGGTGGGTAGGGAAGAAGGGTGGATCAGGAAGGATCTGGGGGTGGAAACAATCAAAATACATTGTACGAAATTCCCGAAGAACTAATACATTAGAAAATTAAATGCACTTGAAATACTCCTCAAATAAAAATTTATGCATAAATAAGTGTGCTTGTATTATTTATAGTATTAATGAACACACAAAAAGGGCCAACTTCTTTAACAGGATAGTAGAGAACTGTATTATGGATGAGGTTCTATCCTACACATTCCTCTGCCAGCTCTTGTGTCTTGTTCAGGGGACTTGCCGTTCAGCAGCCATGTGACCACAAGGATACATATGAGTCCTGGGGGGTTGCTCAAAACCTCGAGCATTTCTTAGGGTACCCATTCTGAGAGGCAGCCCTGAACTTCAGTGGATAAGTAGTTGAGGGGGCAGGGACAACAGGAAGATATCACTGGGCAATTCAAGAGTCTATTTTTTTTTTTTTTTTTTTTTTTAAGGAAGTACGATAAGACAAGAGTAAGAGTTTAATAAATCAAACAAAAAGTGAAAGAAAACACACACACACACACACACACACACACACACACACACAGTCAACACAACCCCTACTTCAAAACCAGAGTGGAAAGGGGAAGGGCGGCTAATAACCGCAAGCAAGGGCATGCAAGAAAAGGGTTTTGTCGCGAAACACAAACCAGAGAAACCTGGCTTTGCCACAGTTTGGGTGGAGGAAGAGTTCTGGTCTCAAAGTCAGAGTTTGGGAATCCGGTTTCAGTCACTTCCACCACTTAAATAATGTTTGCTCAGAGTCCTCTATGGACACAGGGCACCGTAGTAGCTAGTGCTGGGCATATGAAATCACATAGGACTGACTGACTTAGCCTTTCCTCCCAAATGCTCACAAATCAGTGAGAAGTACAGACCCATTAAAGATTATAGTACCATGTGACCGGGAACCGGAGCACTTTTCCTACATCCAGCAGTGTGTTGCCAACACCACAACGGAGAGAGGAGAAAACAGCCCAAACCAGGAGGAAAACATGGAAAGTCACACGAGTCTGCTCATTTCCCTGGCTACTGCTGAAAGGCCAGCTGTTTACTGTCTACTGTTAAGTCACACTATTTGTCTTGGGACAGCCACACTTTTTAAAACACCAACCACAGAAAATTGTTTTGCAAAAATTCCCAAGAAAGGTTACCTATTCCCTACATGACCATTACCGTTTCCTTTCTTGTTTGAAGCAGCAGCACAATAATTTGAAAAGTCTAGAAAAGCCTTCTTACTTACCATGACTTTCTTCTCCGAAGAGAAAGTAACCTCTAAAGTGCTCTGAAAAAAAAAAAAAAAAAAAAAAAGTGCTTGGCCAAGCCCAGTCCTTAGCCGGCAGCGGCAGTAGTGAGTGGTTTGGCTCCATCTCTTGGCCCTCAGTGGAATTACCCCTAGTGTAAAATCATCCCAAAGCGAGACCTGCTATCTAAATCGGCATATAACTCCTTAGATACATATAAGCAAGCATATTATGAACATCTGGGGATTACTAGAAATATTTATCTACGCACATTTTGCCTTTTTTTTGCGTTTTCAGGATGAATTTTAAATCTCTACCAGGATAGAAAGTTATGAGACTCGGTTCTCTGCTACAACAATCCTTCACATTCCTGCCCCAGCCCCCCTTCCCCCCAAACTACCAGGGCCATTCAAGAATGGTTTGAATATCATGGGACTGACGGAGATCCTTCAAAAATAAAATAATTTTAAGCTCATGGTTTGCTTTTTGGAAAGTCTCTCTCTCTCTCTCTCTCTCTCTCTCTCTCTCTCTCTCTTTGGTCCATGTACAGTCTGACATTTGATACTATTGGGTATTCTAATTTTTAATCCTGGAAGAGTAAGCAACTCTTGGATCCTTCTAGACCAGCTTAGAAATTAGTATTCTAAAGAGCGTTTACAATTTGAGAATACTTCCAGTCAAGGCTGATAGGCAAAGAGAAGGAAGGGCAAACCAGATGCTTCAAGCAGGTGTCCCTGTACCAAGCCCTCTCTCACTTGGTTAGCTTTTTCGAAGGACTGAGTATGTGGGCTAGATGAAGTCCCCTAATTGATCTCACCGGCTGCCATTCTCTCATTGTTACAAAACAAGTTAACTGTGCATTGGCCAGTGCTGAGCATGGGTAGAAAGAAATTACTTCTACTTTTAGGAGGAAGGGAAGAGCAACCTCTTACTGTTCATCTTTCCTGACCAAACACGAGAGGAAGTCTTCTCAGAACTGAGGGAGGGGCAAGGCTGGCAGCTAATGAGCAGCAGGTATGAGAGCAGGTGCTCGGAGAAGGGACATAGGCAGAGCGGAGAGAGGAGCCAGTAACACAGGGAGGGATTGTAGGCAACACTGGGCCTGAGAAAACACATGATACACATGCACATACTCTCACGCATACACACACTCATGCACATGCACATCTATGCAGGCACACATGCACACACTACTGAAGGCTGGTCACATGACTCGTGACTCATGTCTCAACTGTATTGCATAATAATGTTGACATTTGGGGACTTTTCTTACTGAGGCTGTCACAATCCTAAGAAATGCCCTCAGTGGGGAAGCTAAAAGCATTCAAGTTCATCTAACGTGAAAGAGACAACATGACCATGAAATGAGCAAGACAAGAATACATCAGGCTGAGAGCTCCTTGCTTGGCTACTTGCAAACTGCAAGGCTTTGGGCAAGTTGTGTAACCTCACTGACATTGTTCTTATCTACAGAAAGGTCGGAGTTGTGGTTTTCAGAGAGATAATGAATACCAAGTGGCTGGAATGGTGATCGACACAAAAGACAAGCCAGGAGAGTAAAGCGATTTCAGTCCCGTGAAAGCCATGCTTTTAAATGGGGAAGTAGAAAGATCATGGGACATTATGACCAAATGGGGTAAAGCAAGCAGCAGAACCAAGGCCTGGCCCACATGGACAGGGCTTGTTCCCCCCCCCCCCCAGCTTTACTCTGAGCACCTTCCGAGTGCCCGCCAACCCTCATTAAGGTGTTGGGAGAGAAATACTTTCACCACCACCACCTACCACTGGTTTGGGAGCAGCTAAGAAATGGATGGTTAGGGGTAGGCTGCCCCAAGACTGTATCACAGTGTGCTAGGTTCAAAGTCACAGAAGGAGGCACAGACAAGAAACCATCTGACTCAGAGAGTGATGTTCAGAGCCGGTGAATGCCAGAGGCTGGAGGGAGTACCACCCTGCCTTCATTTCCAACTTTCTGCCTTCTGGAACCTTAAGAAGAACAAATTGTTGTTATGTCGGCCATGGGAGAATAAAACCAGGATTGCGTACATATGCTGAAACACATAATGCTTTTCTCAGAGGTTACTTCAGAATTCTTGTCTTCCAGCAGAACTAAGAGAGATTTCCACTGGCCATCTTATGTCCCTTTGTCCTTAAAAAAATACCATATAATACGTCTTTTTTTTTTTTTTTTTTTTTTTTTTTTTTTTTTTTTGAGATAGGCTCTCACAGGCGGGCTTCAAATTTGCAATCCTCTCATCTCAGCATTGACAATGTAAGACTGTGCCACCCTATCCAACTTTATGTGTTGTATTGCTTTTATTTTTAAAATGCCACAGT